GAACCTCAAATGACCAACTGATGAAGAGATAAACGTGTTATGTCTATACATTGGACAATTATTGCCCAGAAAAAAGGAACAAAGTGATGAAACATGCTAAAACATAGAGGAACCTTCAAAACCATGGTGAATGAAGCCAGCTACAAAAGGCTGCAAATTGTGTGATCCACTTATGTAAAATGCTCAGAAAAGGCAAAGCCATGGAGAAAGATTGGTGGTGGCCAGGTGCTAAAGGCAAGAGAAAATGAGGAATCACGCTATTGGGTATGAGATTTCTTTGGGGGGAGATTAAAATATTCTATGATGAGGTGGTGGTGATGGCTGTTTAACTCTGAATATATTAAAATCAACTCTTTAAAGGAAGGAATTTAGGGAATGTGAATATCTCTCTGAAGTTATGATTTAAAAGTCATACCATCCAATTGTGGTTTTCTCCTTTCTGAAATTTAGTATTTGAACTATTGATAACATAATTTTAAAGAAAAAAATTAGCAGGACCTGAATGCAAAAAGACAACTTTTTGTTTTTGTTTTTGGTATCAGGGATCAAACTCGGGTTCTTGTACTTTTGAGGCAGGCGGCAGAACCACTGAGCTAAATCCCCAGCCCAAGGTAACTGTTTTTTTAAAACAACATCCAGGCACAATTCTAGTGCTCTGGCTGGTCCTTTAGATATTTATTCCAAAGAGAAGAAAAGAAAAAAGATCTTTTAAACAAAACCTACAAAAAAAGAAATTTAACAGTTCTTGTATCTCATCACTGAATCTTTGAAAGGAGCAAAACTTTTAAACCAATTTCTGGGCTAGCAGTGTAACTCAAAGGTAGAGAGTCCTTGTCTACCACATGTGAGGCCCTGGTTAACAAACAGTTAACCTCTGGATAATTCCAGAGAGCGCCCAGATGTGGGAATCACTACATCATTTCCACTCCCAAGCACCTATGTAACCCAGTGTAATTTGGACTCCCATCACATCTCACAACCCAAACTGCACCTGCTGTTCTGGTAGTCAGATCCAATTGCCTGTTGCCTGTACTTACGTTGCTTGACTTCTTCATAGTGCTGTTGACTACCCCCTTTGCCCCTCCCTGAGACTCTTTTGGTTTTTATAGTCAACTTCTTTGCTTGTCCTTCTATGTGTTTATTCTGGTTTCCTCACTCATTCTTTAACATTTTAGATTCTCCAGGATCCTGTGCTTGGACTGGAATTTTTCTTTTCTTTCTTTCTTTCTTTCTGTGCTGGGAATTGAACTCAGGTCCTTGCACTTGTGAGGCATTTACCAGAACCACTGAGCTAAATCCCTGGCCCATGGACTTGGAATTTTTCTATCTCCAGGAAGATCTTTCTTTCCTGGGGTTAAAATACCACCACCTGGGGTTAAACTACACCAAACTCTATTTTCCAATCCAGACCCTTTTCTTAAATTTCAGCCTCATACTCCAGCTGCATATTGGCCATCTGAAGGTCTAGTGAACCCACAAACTCCACAAGTCCCAAATTTATCTCATTTCCCTACCAGACTTACCCACCTCTAATGGATACCGGTTAATGGTAGTGCCTTCCTACTAACCCTTCAGACCCACCTCCAAGCTAGAAAACTTCTTTTTTATCTTTGTGTTTAAACAGGGTCTTTCACACACTAGATGCGTGCTCTACCACTGAGTTACATCCTTAGTCCTCTAAATTAGAATTCGTGATGTCATTGTTGGCTTCTCTTTCTCATTCTTTCACTTCCTAGAGTCACCAAATGTTTTCCACTTCGGAAGTGACTGGACCATCTCATGTCTCTCCCCTTTCTCCTTCCCTTCTGCTTTACTTACAGAAAGAACTCATCCTGTTTGGTTATAATATTTTCTCTGGTTCAACTGATCCTGATTAGGAATTCCTTAAAAAATAAAATGGACTCTGTCATCTTGCTTTGCTGCTTTTGGCTTTTTCTTTCCTACGTAATAAAACCCCATTTCTGTTTCTTTTTCAGCTCTCCCTCCTCCTGACCTCTGATCCTCATCTCTGTTTCTACCACATTCTTCCCCACTGCCAGTGCACAGCAGCCAAGCAGGAAGTAGTTTAAAAGAATGCTTAATGTATTCTTCTCAGTAGGTTAAACATGACTGCATATATCTCTACACTTCTGATGTGAATTATTCCATATCACAGGATA